GTAAAAAAAATTACTACAATTTATAGTTAAAATCTATTCATTATTGTAGCAATTGAATTAATTATCGAATAAAATGCTACAACAATACGAAAGAAGTCCACAATGTTTAGTATATTTTACTATTGTTTGTAGAAGTAGAAATTTATTACAATTTTCGTAATTACTACTACTAACTTCTGAAAAAATTTGTACACATATTAATAATTATCTCTATAAAAAATAGTAATTTTCTCTACAAAAAATAGTAATAATTTACATCCCTTCTTATGAAAAAAATGTAAACAAAACAGAATTCTGCTATTGGCCAACGTTTTCTGACGTCGATCATAAATGGCCAGACAGCAGTAGCCGTTCGCCATGTTTACATAACAAAGCATGATACATATACGAGTACCTATAACACATTATTATACTATAAGCACCGATGCGTTTGAGAAAATTTTAATAATAAATTCTATTGGTGGTAAGTACATTTATTATTGTTTCTGAATAATTTACCTTTAGATAACTAATTTAAATAACCTTAGTAGATTATATTAAAAAAAAATAGTTGTGGCCAACGATCGAATGTTGTGCCCAACGATCGAATTTTGTGCCAAGTTCAATGATGTTTTTTTGTCTTGAATGTGACATACCTACTTTCTCATTTTTGTTAGTTATCTGACTTAGTCATTTAATATTCAAATCAGTGTAAAGGTGATAAATATCCCCGTTTTAAGGGTATGAACAGTTCAATTGTTATTAATTTTTATTTCATATTTTTCAGGTGCAGAAAAGCCAACTGAGACTGAGGGTGCTATTATTACTGTTATTTATTACATAATGTAATTAAGACTTTGTATCTTTTATATTAAAACAATAAATTGAATATTTTATTAAGGAAAATTTTTTTCTAGGTTATAATTTTAATAATTATGGAATACTACTACAAGTTTTATTAAAAATTACTACAATTTGTATGAAATTTAACTATTTATTGTGTAAAATTTTCTTATGTATTTTCATAAAACGCAATACATTTTTAATATAAATTCATACAATGTATAGCAAAAATTATAACAATTTATAGAACAATTCTTATAATGCATATGGATATTTTTACTAAATATTGTAGATAATAACTCTATAATATATTCTCCACAAATATTTGGAAATTTTTACTACAAATTGTAGAAATTTGTTCTACAATTTTTTTTCCGTGTAGATATCATCTTTACTAACTGGTTGTATTTATTTCAACTTTATTTTCTACCAGGATTTTCTAAATCTATTCGTATACTGAAAATCAGTAACTTCTAACTTCATTATAACTAAATTATACTTCTTTCAAAGTAGCTATTCTATTGCTAAAAGCTTTTCTTTTAGTTGGAAAAGTCCCCGTACAATAAAATAAAATATAAACCTGCTTTTTAAAATACAAAGAAAGAGCTATATTTATACATTACAAATTAAATAGTTTATTCCGATCTAAATGTTTGCTTTTATTTATTTCTCCCAATCGATAAGGATAGATGTTATCTACAACCAGGTTATCCGGCAAGCATCCTCTGCCAGTTTTAAATTGGACATGTCTGTACTTGATTTATTAGTCTAATGTGAACGATTCTCCTGAAATTTAATCTACGGAATCTAAATTCTACCTTCTGATATGTTTTATTGGACTAGATTGGCAGATTTATTTCAATAAAAATTTTCTTAAAATATTAACTTCGGAAAATCTTATATTCTAAATTAAAACTTGCAAAAATTAACTTTACGGTTTATAATTAGTAGATGCAAATTTATTTCTTTACTTTGAATTTTTGTATTTGAGCGGTGGCCCGGCGTCAACAAGGACAAATCTGATAAAAAATGGACCTAAAACTATCAAAGGAGATTAGAGTTATTTTTCAAATATTTTTCAAATATATTCCAAATATTTTCCAAATATTTTCCAAATATTTTCCGAATATTTTCCAAATATTTTCCAAATATTTTCCAAATATTTTCCAATAATTTTCCAAATATTTTCCAAATACTTTTCAAATACTTTTCAAATACTTTTCAAATACTTTTCAAATACTTTTCAAATACTTTTCAAATACTTTTCAAATACTTTTCAAATACTTTTCAAATACTTTTCAAATACTTTCCAAATACTTTCCAAATACTTTCCAAATACTTTCCAAATACTTTCCAAATACTTTCCAAATACTTTCCAAATATTTTCTAAATAAGAATAAAGGACTCCATTTCCGAATTCCCTAAGCTAAATATAGAAGTTCCTCAGGGATCAGTCTTGGGACTGCTAATATTTCTTCACTTTATAAATGATTTACCCGACAATATAAAGAGTCAAAACTTATTTAGGTTGATGATACGAGAAAAGTAATGGGAATAAGAAAATCAATAAAACGGCATAAGGTCTCACGAGGAACTGTATTAACCAAATTGAAAACATCGGAATAAATGATAGGCTAAAACTTTGATATAAATAAAGCAAGGATCCCAATTCGAAGCCAGAAATGGCAAAAGGCAAAAGGGTTTAGAAAAAGGTTAAATATACAAATTAGGAAACCATTTTGACACTAACATTATTATACCAATATCATAATAAAGGAAATTTGAAAAAGAAGATTAGTTAAGAAGAAACTGGACCTCTCGCGAAAGCAAAAATGTTTTAAGGATTTTCTAACATAAAATTGTATTTATATTCGTACCATTTGGGAATACTTCGTGGTATTATATGTCTTGACAATATTGAAAGTTTTAAATTTGTGCAACGATAAGGCAGACAGGGACGTTTAAGAATAAAAGGTGGGAAAGCATTTCATTTAAAAACTAATAGATATTTATTAAAACAAAAAGAGGTAAATTTTTATAGATTTAATACAGAATAGCGCATAGATGTTTTTTTTTAATTTTTTTAAATTTTTTAAAATTAATACTTTTCGATGGTTTACAAAAAATTCAAGGTTTCTTCACCCTACGTTTTGTTATTATTGGTAGTTCCTAAAAATTTTACAAATTGGACTAAAAATAAAGACTCAGAATGAATTAAAAATTTTCGAGGTTTCCGGTTTGCTCTTAAGTCAAACATGTCATTCATTATACTCAAATTATTGCATATGAAAATATATAAAACAGTTTCTAGCCTTGATCAAACACAATATCCATTATATTTTCTGCAAAAAATGTGACTCCTGTCCTTGAACGCTTTATTTTTGCACCTGGTGGCCTCCTTGTTTACAAAAAATTTAGAAAAATGGCGTATATTGTGCGTCTGAATTATCATATTTACTTCCGTTGCTTTCATTTTTCTGACTTTCCATCCATTCTGCTTCAAGTCTTGTCACACTGTCTGAGCTTAGAAATTTCCTAATGATAAAATCTAAATCTGCCTCTTCACTACATGATCTATCACTTCCTGGTTCTGCAATATCCCCAATATCTAACATGTTACCATCTTCTAAAAGCTCTGTTAGTTCTCGGACATAATCCTAATTTTCTAAATTATATTTTTTGTAGGTTCTGTTCATATTTGGATGGCCATGAAATATATAGGTCTGTTCCAACAACGATCAAAAACCAGTCACTGACACCAGGATTCTTCGCAGTAGATTATTGGGACCGCCAACTTATCTACTGCGCAGAATCCTGGCGTCAGTGACTGGTTTGTGATCGTTGTTGGAACAGACCTTATATCAATTAAGTTTGACAACACTTCAGACCACATATACATACTAATGTACAATAATAATAAAACTCTCCATACCATTTGTACAACCAGAGGTATATGTGGTTAAACACGATTTTTATAAAAAAAAAAACTGTAATATGGTAAAATTTTTAGTTCATGGGTAAATACGCACCTTCAATAATAGCCACAAAAAATATTAATCAGTTTTAACAAAAATTAACTACAAAAAACTTAATAGTACTAAAAATTTTGACACATTAACGTTTAGGTTATAACGACTTTTAGAATGGTAATAAGGCATTCCAACGACCTGTCAAAATGCTGAAAAGTGGGAACAAACGTTTAGATATGGCAACCCTATGGCCTGCTGTTATTGATAGGGTTGTATAAACTGCTAAAACCGGGTCCTTTTGCGAACGGCCATATTGCCTGCCAAGTGCTCATTAATTGAAATCAGTCTATCAAAAATGTGTTTTGAATATAGTAAAAAAATAATGACTTACATTTTTACTTCAATGCATAAACTTATGTTTATTTTGAAAAACATGGATGATCAATCTATATAACTATTAATTTCATTGACCCTGTCAAATCACTAGGCTTACAGGGTTGCCATAATATTGCCATAATTTTATTTTATTTTATTTTTATTTATTTTTTTATTTAATTTTTATGCATTTGTATAATTTATTTTAAGTTTTTATTTGGTTTTTAGTAATCTGCATGGTTATGTGTTATTTATGCACTGTACTTGTAGAATTAAAGATAATATCTTGAATTAAAATGATTTTTTATTTTTCAGAATTTTGACAATTAAAAAGTCCGATAAAATTAATTAGATAAGAAATAAATAACAACAAACACAATTTCTATCAAAAGAGGAAAATTAAGTACACTATTTGTACTAGAAAGCCTAATATACATTATAATCACAAAAACTTTCCTAAAAATTAAACCGAATAACTTTTATTTTAGTCGTACCTTACTAATTTTTTCTTCTACATTTGCTTGTCCGTTACTTCCAGTTAAAATTTATAAAGGTGTTATAACAGAGTTATTATTCCATTATTCTGTTTAAACTTTTATTCAAATTTTAATCTCACCCTTTTTAGTTCCTAATTTTTGAAGCAGAAATCATTGTAAAAAATGTAAAGGGTGCAGAATCAACCCCTCAGTCTTATGAAGTGTGCTTGGCGTACGTCAGGCACCTTCACACGCACACAAGGGTTAAGGTGGACAATAAAAGCGCCACTGTGGGAAGGGAAATGATTTGGGTTTAAGGGACAATGACAGGGAAACACGAATATAATTATGTGATACGATGGGGTATTTTAAAGTAAGTCCTAAACCTAAAAATATTTTTTATAAATTCAAATATAACCATGTCATATTTTACTCTATTCTTTTAAACCGTACTGTTTTTGTAATATTTATAACATTTTCATTCAATTCTTTTTATCGCTTTATAAAATGTTGCAAAATCACCACCACTTGCCTACTCTATGGGATTTTCCTTTACACATCTTCTATCATTTTCAAGTAATACTGAATGGAACACAAACTTATTAAATCTTTCTCCTTTCAGTCACAACCTACTTAATAATTTCCCATCCAATCCTATCTTTTTCATGTAAGTAAAAATCAAATGCAACAACTTAGTATGCAGTACACTCGTAAGTATTTTCCTAATCATTTTGTAACAATAATATTGTGAATGGGATGTCAGAATCAATACACTACAACCCAAAAGAGACCCCACGACCTAAAATATTATTTTTCCCTTTTGTCACACAGCAGAAGAATAATCTCATTGTCTATAACGACCCTTCTAATCCTATCTTCCCAAGGAAGGTTAGGATTTGAAGTACCTAGTCCAAAGTTGGGAAGATCATTGTTTTCTATTTAGTACGCTCTTGGATTCGGTATAATCATACATTCAGTCAGAATGTGAATTGAGGTTCCGTCTTTCTTCTCACAGAATCTGTACTATCTTTTATTAGTCCAAGTTTACTAAGGTGTCATTAGTATATTTTAATAATATCTCATCTAAGTTTAAAATTCTCGTTCATGGAGTGGCACAAGGTTCTGTTATTGGGTCCCTACCCAATAACGTCAACGATTTAATTAAATGTATGTAACCCTGCAAAACTATTCATTTTTTCGACAATACGACCTTCATCTCAACTGGAAAAGATCAATATTGTCTATCAAATTCTACTAACGATAATATTGAATTGTCAAAGAACTGTTCTTTGCTAATAAGTTTATGATAAATAATAAAAATACTCAAAACCTTAATTTTAGATGTGGTATTTTATCATCGGAACTTGACAGTGTCAAACTATTAGGAATAAAACTTGATAGAAATAATTTCATGGACTTACCATATTGATATGATTGCTAAAAGATTATCTTGTTAGTTGTTTTTGCTTCGGCGTTTGGAATTAGTTAGGTACCAATTTTAGATGTTTAAAAATGGTATATTTTTTATTGTTACATTCTCAGATAGGTTACGGATTTATTATTTGGGCAATTTATCAAAGACAATTGAATACCTTGACGGAACAAGGGGATATGCCATAATTCGAGAGAAATTAAGTTCAACTAATTTTCTCAGTTACCATGAAGGTCTCTGCTCACTAAAACATTTGTATCGCTATCGGATAATAGATGGCGCCATATTAGCAGAATCTCCTTATTTTTATAGGCAAGATGGCTGAACCAAATAAACATGTGCTGTAACGAAAATATTATTATTCGGACAGTTCTAGCAGTGAAAGTGGTAGTGATTTCGATTCAAACGATAGTGTAAAGTACAAAACTTATATTAATATTGCAACAACGAGTGATTCTTCAGATTGTTCGACATAACAGGTAAAAAAATAAATATGTGGCTTATTCCCTTTTTGCGAATACGTTTGTGGCTTATCTAAGTAATATCTATTTCCACAGTATTAATTTAAAAAAAATGTCCTTCATACCTTTACAATACATAATATTATGTATTTATGAAGCTCCCTGCTAATATATAAAAATGTTTGTCCTTTAAGCCCAATTCAAGGCTAAATAAATACATTATTTGGCTTATTCCCTTTTTGCCATTATTTACTTTTTGTGGCTTATTTATTTATTACACAAAATAAAACAACTATTTTTTTTTTTAGGATAATGGCATTGGAAATGCTTCACAACCTAATAATGATTTTCAAGGGGCTCCACGACCATTAGAATTACCACCAGTACCTGCAACAACATCAAGAGGTACATTGGAAACTCCCTTACAAATGCAAAAATAAGAAATGTCGAGAGCTTCTAGAAGGAAAAGAAAATAATGTTTTTAAATCATTCTGGGATTACGATAATCAGATCATTTATTTATATTCGTGCATAAAATCTAGCCCTAAAAAAAGATCTTACCCTAAAAAAAAACTAGACGAAATATTTCTTCAAGAAATGTATCATTCTAGTATTATGCTGCCGGAAAAATGGTAAAACTTTGCAAACCGAGTTCCTCTCTGTTTACTTAAGAGTAGAACTTCTGTGTCAAAAATGGTAAATACTGGATTTACAACGCCAGAATGTGACAAACGGGACAAGCATAAAACTTGACCCAATAAAATTCCTGATGATCAACTCCAATCTTGCAGGCAACACATAGAATCTATACCAAAGTACATAAGCCATTACAGCAGGAACAAAAACGCTAAAAAAGTATATATTGACCACGATTTAAACATATCCAAGTACAAAGACCACTACATTGATTGGTGTAAAAATTGAGATCTATCAGATCTATCAGAAGATAAATGCAGGCGTATTTTCTGCAGCGAGTATAATATTTAAGCTACCCAAAAGTGATACCTGTAAAACATGTGATATGCTGAAGGCACTTATAGAAGATCAAAATGCGAGTGAAGTGAAAATTAGGCAAAATCAAATCAAACGAGTTGAACTTACGAAGAGCTGAAGCAATAAAACAAAGTTTAAATGACGAAGTTGAACGTGCCAAAGATAATCAAGATACTTGTGTTATCTCGTTTGGCTTGCAACAAGCATCATCAGTCCCAAGTTTGACAGTTGGGCCTTCATTTTATTTGAGGAAGGCCTGGGTGTATACATGATTGTATAATTGGTTAATAATATATGTACATGTGGACTGAAAGCTTAGCCAAAAGAGGTAGTGATGAGATAGCCAGCATATTATCCAAACATTTTAAACAAAATCTACTCGAAAAAAAACAGAAAACTAGTAGTTTATACTGACAAAACAAAACAAAAATTGGTCTATTATCTGTTTATGGCAGCAGTTAGTCAATGAAGGGTTTTTCCAATCAGTAGAACACAGATTCTTAGCTGTTGGTCATACGCACTTACCCTCCAATTGTGATTTTTCAATAATAGAAAATTGTGAAAGAAATGAAGCAGGGATATGAGCCAAATGATTGATATGAAGCAGTACGAAAATGTAAACGAACAAAGCCTTTCATTTTAAATATATTAGAGCAAAAAGATATTCTGTTTTAAAGATCTACAGAGTCAGATAGTAAAAAAGAACTTGACAGATTAAACAGAAATGCTCAACTTTAGTCAGGTTATCAGTTTTAAATTTATTAAATGAGAGCCAAAATTACTTGTAAAACACAGATTAAAGGGGCCATTTAAAAGTATTACCATAAGGAAAAGAGGTATTCGAAATGCAGTTTCATTGACATTAAGGGATCTAAAACAAAAGTACGACAATCCCATTCCTTTGAACTAAAAAAAAAAAATTCTAATATCACCCGGATCTTAAGATATATACCTCCACTGACCATGCAATTTTATCGAAAAATCGGAGCGTACAATTTGGATACTGAAAATCAAAATATAAACGATAATGAAACAGAAGATGTGGATAATGTCAGTGATAATAATTTAAGTGATAGTGAAGACGATGTTGTGTTAGACTGTCATCAAAATCACATTATTGAATCAAATGGATGTATGAAGTTTTTTAATACTTCTTTTTTTTTGTTTATTATTACAGTAAGCGATAAAGCCCCTTAACTTATTTCCTTGTTTAGATTTAGCATAAAGTTATATTATTTTGTTTTTGGTATTATTTCCTTTTGAACTAGGAAAACTCAGTGTTAAGATGTAGTCGTGGAAAGCTGCATAAGTATTATTGGTTTCTAAGAGAATAACCCTTTCTGTTTTTAAACAAAAAAAAAGTATTATACAACTGTAGGCAAAAAGGGGACAAGCCATACATTTTTCAAAAAAATGTTAATATTTTTGAAAATTTATATAACTTGCTATTTTTTTCGAACTTTGTTTATTTTTTAGTGTGTGAACGTGATTTCCGGATTTGATTAAATATTTAAATCTCAAATATCTCAAAAATTACTTTTGGTAACATATCCCGTTGTTCCATCAAGGTCTTCAATTAAGTTATTTCGTATGCAAAAAAGTAATAAGAATCTTAACGAATGTTGGGTATCGTGAGCCCTGTCAACCACTCTTCAACACAAGTTATTATGACTAGAGCTTGGATTATATGCAAAATGCATATAAAGTGTATGCCTGCATATTTAGTGCAGAATTTTATATTGCATATTTAAAATAATAATGCATATCTAAAAATAAAATATTGCTTATTTATCATTATAATGTAAACATTACAATATTTTTAAATTGTTCCTGCATTTTACCACGAAATATTAACCAAGTGGGTATTTTGCTTTCTAAACTACTAGGTATTAAGGATTAGAGCAATTAGGGGATGATTCATAAAATTTATCCGTTTTTGTGTAACAGGTAGTTAATTCAGTATTATTTTAAATTTATTTTGGTTAAGTATTGTTATTGGTTGTATTCCTGCAAAAGTGCCGTTAGTGCGAAAGTAAAAGCGTTCATTTTAAAAATGCCGAAACATGCTACGGGAAAAATGCAAATGATGAAGAAATGGATCTATGAAAAAAGTTATTTGAGAATCGTTTTTTGCTCCATCTGCGATAAACTGGTGAGGATAACTAACATTTTTGTTGTATTTTTCACACCATAAACTTTTTTCAAAGCCAGCTGAATCCTATTTTAGAAGTAAAAAGAAATAAAATCAAGATATGATATAAGAGCTATACTAAATTGTTTATTCGGATTTCATCTAATTTTTAAAAAAATTAACAATACATTAGTTTTTCTTTTTTTTTTAAATAAGAAAATGTTTTTTTATTTTTAGTCAAAAGCTTCTTTCTACCAACCAGATTTTTTAAAAATCATGTAGCTTTTATTTTTATATATAAAAATTCACGTATTTTTGAATTTCAAAAAAATATTCTTTTATATTTGACGATGACGTTAGATCTCTTTTTGTAGATTGTCTGTCTAAAAAATTTTAAGTGGATCAACATTTAGGAACAACAAGTCACTTATCCAGAAAACAACTTTTAAACCGATTTATTCAACAGTTAATAACAGACCAAGGACCACTTCTTATCATCATCAGGACAATTTTAATATAGATTTGTGCAATTTATTTGTATCTTGTTATATTCCAATTCACAAATTGGATAATCCTCTGTTTAGAAATTTTTTTAGAACTTATTTTAAGGAAGAAAATTTACCCAGTTCATCCGTTTTGCGCAAAAAATATGTTCAAGTTAATTTTGATAACGCATTGAATTCTATAAGAAATGAAATTAACGATAAACCTGTGTGGTTTTCGGTTGATGAATTAACTGATACGCAGGGGCGCTATATTGCAAATTTTATAATCGGCGCACTAGATGAAAATATCCCTGATAAAGAATATTTAATTTCAGGTAAAGTTTTAGACAAAATAAATAATTTAACGATAACCAGATTTATTAACGATTCGTTAACAAATTTTTATTTACCTAGACAAGTGCCTAAAAATAATATTTTATTAATGGTCACTGATGCTGCTGCATACATGGTAAAAGCAGCTGAAAACTTAAAAATATTTTTTCTGAATTTAATCCATTGCACATGCTTAGCACATGGATTAAATAGGGTACATGAGACGGTTAGGAATGAATTTCCACTCGTAAATAATTTAATTAAAAATATTAAAAAGTTTTTGTAAAAGCCCCTCTTCGGGTTCAAGGATTGTTTGCCAGGAATTCCATTGCCACCAGAAACAGTTTTAACACGATGAGGCACTTGGTTAAACTGTGTTACTTTTATTGCGACAAATTTTAACGAAATTAAAGATGTCATCTGCGACTTTGACCCAGAAAACTCAATTGCAATTAAAAAATGCATCAATATTTTTAACGATCTTATAGTTTATAGCCCTATTGTCCACATTCAAGCAAATTATACATGCATAGCCACAGCCATAACTAAGCTTGAATCTCGAGGTATGACATTATTTGAAAGCATACAAACAGTTAAAAATTTTAAATCTTTTATTGAACAGTCTATGTTAATGGAAAATAATGTTACATAAAAAAATCAGTTTTACTAAACAATAAAGGATTTTAGACAATAGAGGGATTACATACTGTTTTATCTGGCATTTTTAATAATGAATTGGATTCAAACGTCTTGTGAAGTGCAACGTTAATTTTCGGCGTACAAACATATTTTAAGTGATAGAAGGCAATGTTTCATTATTGAAAACGTTTAAAAATATTTGATAACTTACTATTTTCATTCAAAAATTAATTAGATGTAATTGATAGAAATGTAAAATCATTTATTCATATGTTTAAAAAGTCTATAATAAAATTTAAATATCAAAAATGACTGTCTTTTTTATTTTGCATATTTGAAAGCATATTTTCTCTATTGTTAACGCATACATGCATACATATTTATACCATTTTTAAGTGCATATTTTCCAAGCCCTAATTATGACATTACCATCACTACTTATTTTTAATAGTTTTTAAAATTCTCAAAAATAGTGCATATCATCTTAAGCAGTTTAATGTCTACTATTATAATACCAGACAAGCTGAAATCCTAAGTAAAGCAAAATTTCGATTATCTAAATCGCAAAATTTAAATCATTTTAGCTTATCACAGTTTAAAAGAAAATTAAAGCGATTTCTTCTCGAAATGTGCTTTTATTCAGTCAGTGAATATATAGACTATTTTAAAAATAAAAATGGTGTATTATATAAATTTTATGTTATATCAGTTATATTATTATTTGTAACTGTATTTATATTTGTGTAATATTTTGATACTTTGCTTTTTATAATATTTTGTTCTTGGAACATATTTTATTTATTTTTGACTTGCTACAAACGTAC